GTCCCCTGACCCAAGTGAACATATCTTTACTGATGCTTCTCGATCCCCATCACGCAATGGATTGTCTTAGTTACACATATAGTAAATAATTGTACTAAGCGGACATCTGTGCACGTTCCATCGCAGGAAGCATGTTGTGCATCAATTTATTTGCAGCTTGAGTTTTGACATGAGAATTCAGGGTATAACAGATTTTTTTTTCCACTAAAAGAAAATGGAAGTGGCTGAAATATAGAATGTCTGTGTCTTTTTTTTTAAAGATTTATATTGGGCATGAGGCTCTGCACATTACGAGAGCACAGGTGACGGGCAGGCGTGCATTGTAAATGCCTGAGGTAACCGTAAAGACATAAATGGGATGAAGATATTGATTATTTTTTTTCTCGCAGAGCCTGCAAATTAGAAAAAGGTAAAACGAAAACTCACTGGTCCAGCTACAAATTTTAATTAAAGCATAAATAAATCATTTTACTTGCTGCACTTGCATATAAACAAAGAAAAAGATGGCACGTTTTCAAGTACTTGTCAAAGTTTGCAGGTGAATGAATCACTGGGTAACGAAATGTGTGGTGAACTTGTCTCAAACTTATAGGGAAAAGTGAAGCATAAAGTTGGGCAAGCATACCTCTCTTTTTAATCTGTTCTATTTCACGTTAATGTAATAAAATTAAATATTGTGGTTTATTTCAACATTTGTGCATATTTCACAAGGCTGAGTCATGTTCTTCCACAGACCAGGCTAATAACCTCAAGCTCTTCTCATACCACAATGTGTAGGTTTACAATTGTTCATAGTAGATGGTACATTGGTAGCAGGAGAACGGGTATTTTTGTAATAGCATTTTACCTCCACCATTGAGTGGATAGTCTACGGAGAGAATATGATTAACACAAGTTTATTAGTTTTTGAAAAGTCCATGTTAATACATTTTAGAGTACAGTTTTGTCCTGAATTTTGATTTATTAATTTAAGTAGCCCTGTAACAGTCAGCCCAATGTGAGCATGATGTGTCATTTAACTCATTTAACTAATTTACAATTGGGTTCATCTACGTATTAATGCCCCAATTCTCAGTAGTCAGGGTTAGCAGCTAAAGTAGAGTCTTAAAGAGAAATTCAGGATTCTGGGTTCCTACCTGTTGAGGCTTCTATCACTACAAAAAAATTTAATATGAACAACACTTCATATACAGTATATCACTTTGAAAAATAAACTATTTTTGATATGGAGCTTAAACTCTTAGATATTAAAATTAAATTGTTGCACCACTTAATATTAAGAAAAATAAAGTAAATTACCCAAAGAAGCTCAGTATGGAATTACATTTCAAATACACTCTCTCAAGATGAACTTTCATGAGAAGACCTAAATCTCTGGATAATTCAGGTTTAGTAGGTATTTATATCTAATGAAAGTGACACTAGACTGTTTGAGGTGCCGTCACGATGAAGGCGACATGAAACATGTATGGTGGGACTGCCCGAAGGTGCTGGTATATTGGAGAAAGTCTAAAAATGTAGTCAGCGTTAATTGGATAAACCCACTCCTATAACTCTAGCAGTCACACTTCTCAATCAACTTCAGGGCACACTTAAATGCATAAAACAATTGGTAATTTTTAGACTCTTGATCGTTACCAAAATAATAATTGTGAGTATATGTAAATTGCCAGTGGTCCCATCGTTTTGATCTTGGGTGGACATGGTAGAGGAGATTAGGCAAGACTTTAAGCAGTGGAAATATTATACTCGCAGATGGTTCGATTGGCTAGAGTTTCTCACTTTCCTGGAGTTTGTTTTCACAGATGCATAGTGGCCCATAGTGTGGCCGGATGATTGGGAGAGGCTGGGTGCTTTTGGATTTTTAACTGGGATGTGTCCAACTCTAAGAGTGTTAATGGCATTCTGAAGTTCGAGATGTCATTCCTTTTTCCCCCGTGGAGAACTTTTCTTCTACTTCACCTTACCCTTACTTCTGGTGTGGAAAGGGGACATTTCTGCTCTCCCCCTCCTTCCCCTCTTTTTTTGTATTTTCTTTTTTCTTTCTTACCCATCTAATACCCTCCCACACCATATTTATTCTTGGTGCCATTTTTGTGGATTCACATTTTGTGATCAGAAGGAAAAACATTTTACACTACTTTGTATACACTATTTCATTAATTTGAGAGCATATTTCACCAATTAATTAAAGACTATAGAACAGCGAGAGCAATTCTACAATGTGATTATGCTTTTTTGTAACTCTAATTGTCTCATTTAAAGTAGGCTAATCATTCCTTACATTCTATATCATGTATCAAAAATACTAGAACATCAATCATTACCAAAACCATAGAGAAGACACAGAATGAGGAATAAGTCTGTGGCAAAAAAAAAAAAATATGAGCCCCATGTGGTCATATCTGGAAATACATTTAAATTAAAAGCAAAGCACACAAATAATCTTAAATAAATATCTTGCTGTTAAATGCTTTAATTTGGCATGGATTTAACAAAGTGAAGCTATCTAAAAACTGAAGACAATCAGGTGTCTGTCATATGCTTAAGCAGTTAAATGTTTCAAGCAGTCCTTCTATTCTGTGTAAGGCTCGTGGCATTGGCTGACCCCTCAATGAATGCTTTATTGCGGTGTGAGAAATATAACACATTAGGATGAGACAATGGGTCAGTAGCCAGAAATTCTTCAGTGTCTGCAGTTGTGCCAAGGCATGAATGAGAAGCGGAGTGTCAGGAAAAAGTCAGCAGGATTCCCTTGAGTCTGCTGTGTTTGTATAACAGATGGACTGGCTATCGGATATATTTACAGGAATCTCTCCATGGGCTATCTATAGACTTGGGGAGGAAAAGGGATGTATATAAGGCTGACCATTAGAACTTAGGTGTTTAACAAACATTCTCAAAAACGTCCTCATCGTTGATAATAGATGCTTAACACGGTTCTTTAATTCATGGATTGGTCCAACGCCATAATGTTTACTGCAGTTCTGCCTGCTGTAAAGAGGACCAAATGGGAACGAGGCTGTAGATTTTCTATGCAGTGAGGTACATAGTGTTACCTCGTCAGAATACATCATACAAAAGATCTCGCTTACACCATGAATATGAAATACCATGACTCAGAGAAACTATGGCTTTGATGGCCAACTTTATACTGCATTGATCTCAATAGCTGTTTTTTTGTTTTGTTTTTTTTAAAAGTATAGTATAATTTTTCCAGTTTTCATCCAATAGATGGACCTCAAGGCAGAAGCAAAGACGTTAGGAATTTCATGGTGCCAATGGAGTCTGTTTCTTAAACGTATTACTAAATTGATATTAAGAAGCACAATAGCTAAAGGTGGTGTGACATAATTTCAGGTCCACTTTATACATATTGTCATATCCATGTGTACGACCGAATCAAATGTAATGCCATCTATACGGCAATGTGCTGATCCTCCTGCCACTTCCTTCTGAGAAGACACAGTTGGATGTGAAAATGTCCATGTTCAAGGTTTTGTTTGTGTATAATCTGTAGTCAAGATGCAACACGTAGCAATGATAGCTGAGTGGTCATGTCTAGGGTATAAATTGTAACCAATAGGAGTTGGAGCGTCAAAAGGGGTACAGCTGTCTTCATCATTCAAGTCATAAATAGATTTGTAACCAACTTACACTCTGTTAATTTTCCATTGCTGATATACAATCACCTTGTCATAATAAAATGATATGATTTTTTTTCTACTTTGGTACTACTCCATAGCAATGTTTTTTGTTTTTTTGTAAATGTTTAGTTTGTATATCATTATAAATTGTGATGACCTAATCCTAACAAAGCATTTTATTGTTAATCCATTACTAAATATACTTGAATTAAATTTTAATTTAAAACATACACCAATGATGTGCTGTAGGGCATTGAGAGAGCATAGAAAAGGTGTTTTACGTATTAAGGCGTTCACATGAAAAGCTAGGAAGGGCATTTAAAAAAAATATCGATGGCTCTTCCCCACTGGACTGTCTGTGACTGGCCCTGTGCTCCGGTCTCATGCTGACCTGGTTCATCTAGGGAACCTGATCTCTCTCCCACCACTGAATATTAATGGCCAGATCCAACCGAGTTCTACATGCCGGCAACAGGATGGATATCTGCCCTTCCACAGAGGGACTGCAGACCCCGCCAGATGACTGCCAGAACTCCGGCTTAACCAACCAACTCACCTGAGAAATAGTGACTGTGACACTTCTTGGGACTTACCACCGACACCATTTCGGGCAGACTCCAGAATAGCTACACTCCTTTGCTGCGGATACGTCCCCCTCCCTATCTCTGAATCCCCCTCTCTCTACCAACAATTCTCCCCCTCCTTTTTCCCCCTCCTGCTGCCTCCCCCCCATCTTCCACCTCTTTTTTTTTCTTCTTGTATGCCTCATATACTACTGCCATCCTCTACAGACAGTAGGCGATTTTCACCTGAGTGCACCCCCCTCCATGGAGGCACGAATATTGCTAGATTACCTATTGAGGCCGACCCCAGTGACCAAGCTTGCAATTGACCAAAATAGCCATAATGCCACCATCCCTACATATGATAAGGACTACTCACAAAGTATTGTCCCTTCTGTCTGCCCCAATCTAATGACCCTACAGGTAATTACTTCATGCCTGACCGAACCACTCCTGACGCACCTGCGCTGTCTACATAATGCCGCTTCTCCACGATTTGAGAAGTAACGATACTGTAGTACCGTGTTTACTGCATGTTTCGCTTAAGTTGAATGCCTTTATGTTTAAATTTATGTTAATTTCCACACCAGGCAATGCCTGATGTCACTATAACTAGATGCTGTGCAAACCAAATCCCACCTTCATAGTTATCTAGTCGCATACGGTTAATCCACCTTCCACAACATGGTGGTAATGCCTAGCCTTAAATGCACTTTCCCATTTTGCGGCGAGCGCACCACTGGGCGCAATTTAGAGGCCTGCCCTGAAGCTGATCAACCATATTAACTCCATGGGTTACTACGGGAACAACCCACAGGTCAAATCGAAGGACACCGCTATCCTCATCCACAAGTCCATTCCTTTTCACCATCGCGCTATGCTTAACGGTCGATACATCTTCCTCAAAGGGGAGATTCTAGGCCACAAATACAGGTTTACTAATATCTACGCACCAAACTCACAGCAAGGTCATGCTGTAACATGACATGAAACCTCATGTCATGTTACATGTTACATGCTGTCATGTCATGTTACATGAAACCTCATGTCATGCTGTAACATGACATGAAACCTCATGACCTTTGTGGAGGGCATATTAATTTTAGGGGGCGATCTTAACATTGCTTTACACCCACCAATGGACACTTCCACAGGTACATCGACGGTACCAGAACACATACTACAGGCGGTCAGGAACCTTCTACATACACAGTGACTAACAGACTGCTGGAGGGCTTTACACCCAGATGGTAGAGATTATTTGCACTATTCTATAACCCATTCCAGATACTCCCGACTGGACTATTTCTTCATCCCCTATTACCATCTCCACACAGTACATAAGGCCCCTTATGGCCTGATGACCTGGTCTGACCATGCCCCACTCTCTGTGAGCTTGACATCCTCACTCTCCAGACCCAAGACAATTAACTGGAGACTGAATGAGACACTCCTAGACAACCCACTGGTTTCACAAGAAGCACACACTGCCCTGATGGACTATTTCTCTGAGAACACAACTTCTGAGGTCTCGACCCCGGCCATCTGGGAGGCACACAAGTGCACCATTAAGGGAATTTTTATAGAATGGGGAACTAGGATCAAGCGGGAAAGGGAAGAGGAAATACGTAAGCTTACCAACATTCAAAGATTGGAACTCCTACATAAGTCCCAGCAGATTCTAACCACCTTCCAGGACCTAGCCACACTACGCCGTGAACTGTCAACCCTCCTTCATCAGCGTCATCTGTGCACCCTCCAACACACCAAAGCGCACTTCTACCTGCACAGCAACAAATGCGGCAGGTTGCTTGCCCAAATGATTAACAAACAGAAATCAAAGTCCTACATCACCCTGCTACGGACCATCGAGGACGGGTACAACGGTTGCCCGACGGTATCGCCTAGGTGGCCCATTTATACTACGAAAATCTGTACTCAACGGGGACAGATAGGAATCACTCTCAACCAAACCGAAGGACGGAAGCCATCCAAGCCTCTTTGGAAGCTAATATCTACACAAAACTGAAAGAAGACGCCAAAAGGACCCTAGAAGCACCTTTGACTCTAGAGGAATTGACGGATGCCATAAAGGCCACCAAACCTGGCAAAAGCCCTGGCCCTGATGGTCTGATAATTCGCTACTATAAACAATTTGCAGACATCCTATACCCACAATTCCTGGGAACGTTCAATTCCCTCACGAAAGGACAAAGGCTTACCACGCAAACCATGGCAGCTGATGTCACTCTAATCCCTAAAGAGGGCAAAGACCTGGAGCTGTGGGCCAGCTATCGGCCCATCTCATTATTAAACTGTGATTTGAAATAATTTGCGAAGATCTTGGCTGCCAGCTACCGGCCCATCTCATTATTAAACTGTGATTTGAAATTATTTGCGAAGATCTTGGCTGCTGGAATGAACCCATACTTACCCGACCTCATAAAGTCTGACGGGAAGTGAGATACAATACCACACATGTCATCTCCCTGATACGCCAGGCTCATATAACCGACGAGAGCTATCCGCGGATGCAGAGAAGGCCTTTGATAGGGTGGGCTGGGACTTCATCTTTCCCACATTATGGGCTCTTGGGCTGGGCCCACACATGCAAACCTGGGTGACAGCCCTTTACGATGGCCCGACAGCAAGGATCTGCATTAACGGGGCCTACACTGAGCCTTTCCGTATCAGAAATGGCACACGAAAGGGCTGCCTGCTGTTACCGCTGCTGTTTGCCTTTGCTCTCGAACCACTCCTGCAGGCAGTGAGACGAAACCCAGAGAACCAGGGGGTATGGGCCAGGAACGGTGGGCACAAAGTGGCTGCATACACAGATGACCTAATGTTCTTCGTAACTTCCACCGAGACGACGCTATCAAACAGCATGCGTGAATTCAATCTTTATGGGGAACTCTCCAACTTCAAAATAAACTATTTCAAATCGACTCTGCTCAATGTCTCCATGCCCACTGCTAAAGCCTCTGGAGTGCGCAAAACTTCCAATTGCAATTGTCGGAAAGGGCCATGAGGTATCTGGGTGTCTGGATCCCGAGAGATCTCTCCCAGCTATATGCTTCTTGCCCCTACTGACCACAATATGGAAGAATCTTGCGGACTGGACGTTACCACATATCTCCTGGTTGGGACGTATTGCTGTGGTGAAAATGAATATCTTACCGTGAGTCCTCTACCTGTTTCAGACGCTCCCTATCCGGATCCCGACTGCATACTTCACATCGTTATGATCATTAATGATAACATACATATGGAGCTTTCAATTGCCTCGGCCATGATACCAGACGCTGACAAAACCGAAGACAGGGGGCGGTTGGCAGGTCCAGATTTTCTTTTATACTACCATGCAACCCACCTGCAGAGAGTAATGGAGTGGGTCAAGGATGGGGTGGTTAAGTTATGGAAAGACGTAGAGCAGTCCCAGATGGGTGGGTCCTTGACATCACTAATATGGATGAATCCCAAGGCAAGTAGGATGAAATCGGGTCAGCAACCATGCATTAAGGCCACTATGAAGAAATGGCATAGGATAGCACCAAGACTGGGCCTCTCATCATTCCCATCCCCACTATACTCTATCACCAACAACCCCAACTTTCACCCGGGAATGAAGGGAAGACCATACGCATGCTTCTTCACTCATGATCAGGTACAGGTTCGTCATATGTTCAAAGGACATGAGCTCAAGACACCGGGAGACTTACTGGGGGACACCTTTGGGACTTTCTTACATACACTCAAATACAAACAGTTGAGCAAGTTCCTCAGACAGATCCCCAAATGACCTGACGTAAACAGAACACTCACCTCCTTTGAGTGACAGTGTGTCGACTCCGACCTACAGCCACATGCCATATCCATTCTGTATTCTTTACTGCACACACAACTGAACCTCCCAGCTCCTGGGTACATGAGGAAGATTTGTGATTTGGTACATCACTGCACATTAGCTAGCAAATAACAGGAAATGGCATATAAGGTCCTGACACTTTGGTACAGAACGCCTCACCTCCTCCAGAGCATGTACCCTGGATGAAGACTGTTGGTGATGCCGAGCCACATTAGGTACTTTCTTGCACGTTTGGAACTGTTAGCTGACACTGTTAGCTGGAGTAGCTGAGACGGCTCGAAGAACTGACATTTATGGCCCAAGGACACACCCAATCTTACACAGACATCTGGACTTATTGGCTGATGGTCACATATCATGCTGACTTTCAGGCCTTGCTGGCATACAGGGCGAGTGGCTTGGTGGGATGAGGGGTCTCGGGCTATGGGCCGTGCGCACTCCCCGTCTGGGAGTAAACGGAGATCTTTCTAACCTAGCATTCCAACTCTCACTTTTATGGGATACCCAAGCGAGGGAATTAGCCAGATAGAGGCCTGAACACAGGCACCTTGTTACACTTCTGAAAGTTAAGTTCACTGGAACATGGCACCACTTTAGATTATATAAGAGTGCTTCACATGCACGATATGCTATGTAACTGGATCGCGGACTTCAAGTCCTTATTTATCTCCATGTTATTTGTTTCATTCAGTCCTGTGTGACTGTCAGACTTTATATGTCATTTTTTTAAAAAAAAAAGACAGTTTAACTGTGTACTTCTGTTTACTCCGCACTTGTTTACCTTAAAACACGGTGACCAATAAAAATATAAACTATTTGGGAAGATATATATATATATATATAATATTTTGTTTTCACCCCTCATGGGTGGTATGCTTATTCCTCATTCTCGGGTCCTCTACCAGAAGCCTGGGAGTTTGAGGGTTCTGCGCAGTATCTTAGCTGTTCCTAGAACTGCACTCTTCTGGATAGCGATCTCAGATGTCCCACTTGGAATCTGTTGAAGCCACTCCCCCAACTTGGAAGTCACAGCCCCGAGTGCTCCTATCACAACTAGGACTACTTTACTTTACTTTCCACATCTTTTCTAGCTCTTCTTTCAGTCCTTGGTATTTCTCCACCATCTCATGTTCCTTCTTCCTGATGTTATAGTCACTGGGTATTGCCACATCCACCATGACTGCAGTCTTCTGTTCCTTGTCTACAACTACGATGTCGGTGTGGTTGGTCAGCACTTGCTTCTCTGTCTGGATCTTGAAGTCCCATAGGATCTTAGCCCTGTCATTTTCAACTACCCTTTGTGGTATCTCCCATCTGGACTTAGGCCAATCCATATTCTGTGCAGATGTTTCGGTACACAATCCCAGCAACTTGGTTGTGTCTCTCTGTGTATGCTGTTCCTGCTAACATCTTGCAAGATATATATGTTGGCAACATATATATATATATAAAAGCAACAATTCTTTGATAAATGCGTGTGAAAACTCCCAATCAGTAGAGGACAACTTTAGTTAAAGGTAATGTGTATGTCGATTATATAATATTGGGGGCACTATTGTGTAAGGTCTATAAATATTACTGGGCTGGTAAAGTAATGATCGAGGGATTTTTTTTAGATACTAGATGTATTATAGTATTATGTGGACCGCTATACATTTTACTGAGTTCCGTTCTCTATATTATTAGATTTTTTTCAATTGCTACTGTATTTCTGATTGAAGGCCAACTATTTTTTATTGTCTTTGTATAAACACTGTAAAATGATAACAAAGTTGATTCGAATCTAATCTAATGTTGTGAGCCTTGGTTTCTTCTAAGATAGAGGTCACAGCCATGGTGGTGGCAGATCAAATGAAATCTGTGGCCAGTTTCACTATTGATGAAATCTGGTAAGACGTGCGTCCACCTTACATTTTTACTCTGTTTTGGGGGGTAAATTGGAACAGACATATAATGTTTATATATAATTGTTTAGAGCCACCAGAAGTGGGATTTGAACATCCAAAATCCTCACATATGGATTTTATAGAATGTTGGAGTGATGCCTTCATTTTTGAGGTTACATGCAAAGTTCTTTACACAGAAGGAGCCTAAACAAGGAGGAGCCAAATATAATAAATTATATTATAAATTATAATGACAGGAGTCACGTTTTAGTTGACCTCAGAGAGATCACTGATGGTACAATCACCAAGTTTTCTAGTTTAGCCACAGAAATATTCTTAGGTCACGACACAAGGTGTGGAGCTGTTGTTGGAACCCAAACTTTATAACTAAGCTTGGGTCATGTAACCAAACTTCTGATCCTCTCTTTATGCTGGCACTGAGTAACCAAGAGTTGGCTTTTTAATAGAGTTTGGGTACTTTTATGAAGCTCAGTCCCAAAACAAGCATATATCCTGTAGCACAGTGCTACTCAACCATCTCCTCAAGGCACACCTAACAATCCAGGATTTGGGGATTACCCAGGTGTGTCTAGGGTGTTTAAAAAAAACTAAAAACACCTTAGACTCTAAGGTGTTTTTTTTTCCCTTTTTCTAAACACCCTAGACACACCTGGCTAATCCCTAAATCCTGGACTGTTAGGTGTGCCTTGAGGAGACGATTGAGGAGCACTGCTGTAGCAAACCTCAAGATCAGCAGTTAAACCCAAGTGATAAAATCAAGCCAGTCTCATAAACAAGTAAAGATCATCTAAATTTAGATCCTATAACTAAACATAAAGCGTTTACTGAAAGAATTCTCCACAATGAAATGAGATTGACTGCAAGTCTCTAATCTTGACAAGCGACTGACATGGATTGCATTGGCATTCAAATAGTTAAGTTACTGCCATCTAGTGGTAAAATGATATATCAGGCAAGGGTGCCAAATAACTACTGCAAAGTATCCTAATATTCAAATGGTAACAATGTAGATAGAGTAATTCACATAAAGTCCATTTAGAACTATTTGTTTCTCCAACAGATGAGAAACAAATAGTTCTGCCTCTTTGAATAAAAACTGTTTGTCTCACAATTTCCTGCACCCGTTGTGCGAAGACAGAATTTTAATATGGCTGTCCTAAACTGTGACTTGCCCTTCCCCTTTATTGCCTGTTAGGTGGTGTTTCCCGGTAGTTAGTAATATTATCTTTGGGTCCAGGGTCATATTACAATTTA